AGCTAAACAACAAGACCCTAGGGAAGCCGCTCAATCCTCATTCAGAAGGACAAACGTGATAGACATTGGAAGCAGGAGAAGACAGAAACAGGACAAGAGCCTACCACAGACGGCCTCTCAAAGACGCTATTGATTAAGGTATCGAAGCAGAGGCTGAGACTCATAGCCAAACTTTGGGCAGAGGGCATGGAATTTTACGAAAGAAAGGGGAGATAGAAGACCTGGAGGGGTCAGGAGCTCCAAAAGGAGACCAACAGAGCCAAAAAACAAACAAACAAAAAACAAAAACAAAAACAAAAACACCTGAGCCCTGGAGGCCCTGAAGAGAATGATAACCCAGCCAAGGACCACGCATGGAGAAGACCTAAAACCCCAGCTCAGTTGTAGCTCACGAACTCAGTCTCCAAGTGGGTTCCCTAGTAAGGGGAGCAGGGACTGTCTCTGGCATGAACTCAGTGACAGGCTCTCTGATCACCTTCTCCCAGGGGGTGCAGCCTTGCCAGGCCACAGAGGAAGACAATGCAGCCAGTCCTGGTGAACTTACATTTTTACTTGCCAAGCCAATTCTTAAACTTTATAGCTCACTATCTGTTTTATTTATAAATTTTAAACACACACACACACAAAAATCTTAGTGGATGGGTATCACATAAGAAAAGAGACTTGAGGTAATTTGAATCCTGTAATTTCATCTTTACCATCGCCATCCTGTGACTTTTATTTTTACCTTCCTGTTTAAGTGTGGGGATGGGTATTAAGCACCAGGAGGGTTGGAGACAGGAAGTGTGCCTGGGAGAGATAGAAGGGTTCTGAGCCACTATGTGCTCACTCCCATGAGGAACACAAACCACTTGTTTCTGAGCTCCAAGACTGCATAAGTAGCATGTGCGTGGGTGTGGGAGCGCATGGGCCACCGCATATGCGTGTCGTGTTGGTCAGGGTGCCACCTCAGGGATAGGCCTTCGATTTTCCCACCATGCTTGGGACAGGTTCTCCTTGTTGCTCACCATTTCACATGGCGTGTTAGCTGGTCTCTGAACTTTGAACTTGCGGAGATCTTTTGTCTCTCCTGCCCATCTCACTGCAGGAGAGCTGTGGGTACAGACGTGTGCTACCGTGACCGGCTCTATGTGGGTTCTAAAGATTTGGACTCTGTCCTCAGGTCTTATGCGATAAATGCTTTATCCACTGAGCTTGATGACGTTGCCATCAGCTCCTTGCTCCCAGCATTGTTGGTCCCATGATGCATTGCTGTGGGACCTTCCTGTGAAATAGGATGATTGTAGCACCCCTGGCCTCTGCTTTCCAGGTGCTGGAGGAGAAGTGCTTTCTCCATGATGTACAATGAAGAATACTTATGGACACTGCTGGATGTTCCCAGGAGGGCAAAGTCATGCCACTGAGAGACGCTGGTAGAAGAGATCATTTGCTAGAAGGATGCTGGTGGCCTCGCAGTTTCCCCAAAAACTGTACCAGCCTCACACCAACAGAAGGCTTTACCTTCTACAAAGAGAAAGCTGCCTTTCCTGGGACCAGAGGCTGCCTGACTCTCACCCTCTCTCCTGAGGTCCCCCACTGCTAGTTCATGCTACTTCCCTAGCTTTTAGATAAACCAGGACCTGGGCATACAGCAAGACGAGGAGATTGTTGAGAAAAGTCCAGATAGTGCCAAGACATGAGGGAGAGGTTGAGGTGGCGTGGGTGGTGGAGGACAGACCTCTCTGGCACGGATCACTTCCAAGCCTCGGGGGCAAAAGCAGTCTGCACCTGATGGTGGAATGGGCGAATGATGTCACTGTAGCCACACAGTGACATCAGCAAAACCAGTGGCTCAGCTACAGCATGGATGTATAGATGGCCCTCAGCTCTGCATGACAGGAGGTTGGCACGGGAGAGCTTGAGAGCTTTCTCACGAAGGAACGGTCCACAGTGGGCAAAGTGACACATGAAGGACTAAGGGGTTCCCCAGGGAGACCATGACGGTGTGAGTTCAGTTTGTGAAAATTCTTTGAGGACTTAGGATATAGGCTCTTTCTTCCCTCCTCACCTTCTTCCTTCTCTCCCTCTCCCACCCTCCTTTTGTGAGAACAGGGTCTCACTCTAAAGCTCAAGTTGGTCTCAAGCTCACATCAATTCTCCTGCTTCAGCTTCTCCAGTGTTGCAACTACAGATATGATATTTTGCTATTATATATATATATATGCTATTATATATATATATTACATAATATATATTTCAGTAAAAAAGACCCAAATACAGGCAGGGAAAGCCTGACCCACTGTGAACCTAGGGAATAAAGGTCAGCATCTTCGTCAGGCAGGGCCTTCCTAGCCACGTGTGGTTTTGCACTCCCGAGTCTCGTCTCGTCTCTCCTCAGCACCCTCTCCCCAATCCAGACTTAGCTTCAGTGTTTAGCTTAAAGAGCACCTCCTCCAGAAAATTCTGTAAGTTTCCATCTACTGTAGGTTAGGTGTGGGCTGCCTCTGCTCACCGCATCTGACTAAGCCTGGCCTCCATGACGTCTGCAGGCCCACTGTAATTATATAATGAGCCGCACAAGTCTCACGCATCTTTCTGAGCAGATTGGTCCTACATCAACTTGCACAGTTCCCGATTCCCAGTAAATCTCCAAAAAAAAAAAAAAAAAAAAGAAAAAAAAAAGTTGTTAACTGAATATATGAGTGGTTAACACTTTCTGTCTCTAACTTCTTTCTCCAGACTCGTCTTATTTAGATTTCCATCTTCTATAGATAATTCTGCCCGAAAAGTGGAAACAACATTGATTATGTTTTGGTTCCTAGTCTTAACCCTTTGTCCTCCCCCTTCCCCATTTTTGTACAAAGAGGGACCAAGGAATTGATAAAACTATCAATACATTCTATAATTCCCCCATTGCTTCCACAAGAATTTAACTGGTCTCACATCATCATCAGGCTTACTCTCTACAGAGGGCAATGTCATGTACTCTGTGACTCCATATTTATTCTCCCTTTTGACAGACACAGTGAACAACAAGAAAGAGACAGTGCTGTTGCTACAAACTGATCTGAGTCATCCGACCATTAGTACATTAACATTTTAATCCAAGTGTAGAAGTCAATAAAAACACAGAGCAAAAATTATCAGAATCTTATTGGTGTGGATCTAAATTATGATGTAAGAAGTATTTTTAGACAGGGCATTAGGAACGAGATCATCTAAGCAAAATACTAGCTACTAGCATTATACATAGCACATAAAATGACCAGTAAGTAGAAGCAATTCATATGAAATTAATAACTGACCTAGGCTATGAAATAATAAATTCAAAAGAACAGCCATTTTCCATAAGGGAAAAAACTTTCTGGAATTTTCAGGTACCTACCCTACTAGTAAGTCATTGATTCTCAGAATCTTTGGTCCTCTCTTCAAGCATAGATTTTTTTTTAAGATTTGGGGTGTGTGTGTGTGTGTGTGTGTGTGTGTGTGTGTGTGTGTGCTAGTTTTGTCAACTTGACACAAGCTACAGTCATTTGTGATGAAGGAACATCAGCTGAGAAAATGCTACCATCAGAATGACCTGCGGGCAAGCCTTGGTTCATTTTATGATTGACAGTTGATGTGGGAGAGCCCGGCTCTCCCCGGGTGGTGTCGCTTCTGGACTGGTGGTCTTTGATGCTGTAAGAAAGCAGGTTCTGTAAGCGAGCGGGAGCAAGTCGTTCAGCCTGCTCCTCCCAAGCCTTGCCTCATAAAGTCCCTGCCTCCAGGATCCTGCCCTGTCTTCCCTTCGTAATGAACTGTGAGTGGGACATAGAAGCTGAAATAAGCCCTTTCCTCCACAGGTTCTTTTTGGTCATGGTGTTTTTATCACAGTAATAGAAACCCTAAGACTGCCTTACCACATGGGTGCCAGAGTCTGCGGAGACTAGAAGAGAGTGCTGGATCCCTTGGAGCTGGGGTTACGGGCAGTTGTGACTAAGCTACCTGATGTGACTGCTGGGAGCTGAACGTGGGTCCCCAGGAAGAGCTGCAATTGCACCAAAACCACCGAGCCATCCTTCCAGCCCCAAGCACAGCCTTTGGGGAAAGAACAGTCTGAGTATCTGGTAGATGCGGAAGCTCAAGCCTGACCTCAGTGCTTAGGAGAGCCTTGAGGTTGAGGCCAGCCTGAACTTCATAGACCCTGTTTCCAAATCCATCCATCTATCCATTCATCCATTCATGCATGCATGCATCCATCCATCCATCCATCCATGCATGCATGCATTAATCCATCAATCCAAATTTTAAAACAATCTGGGTTACCAGATCTTGATGACAAAGGGCACAAAAGCAAGATTCCAAACCGCTGTCTAATTTGGTCAAATGGTTTAGTTATTTCAGTCTCACCATTTGATGACCTAACACACACCATTTGGCCAGAAACCTGGACTCCATCTGCCTGACGGAGCATACAAGTCTGTCCTTGGCCATCAGTCTAGTTTCTGAAGCTGCAGACTACACAGATAGACTGCTGGTGGCTCCTTCAGCCCGGGAGAAAAGCTTTGGCAGAAAATTTAAAGACTAGGAAACGTGCAATGACACCTCTACTTTAGCCAGGACTACAGATAGGACTCACATTCCCCTTTCTTCAGAGAGAGTAAAGGCGATTGATTCCACAAGCCCAATGAGACAGAGCTTCTGATTGCACATGGAGCTCCCAGGTGGCAAATTGGAATACAAACGCACCCTTAGGAAGATCCCGATCTTCCAGATGCCTGCCTGCTGAGGAACTCACCCACAGGGTCCACATCACACCCGCAAGGGACTGCACTGCCAGCTGCACGTGCTTTTACAACATCTACCCTCAGAGCAGTGTTCTGAAACTCCAGCCCCTTGAACAAAGCACTGCACAGCTCTGGGTACCTTGGGTGGCACTAACGGAACCACTTCATGGAATCTGCAGCAGATTCCACCCACATCGCCAATCTCTGCAACACATTCAACAAAGAGTAATTTCTAGAGAAAAGATAAACTCTTACCGGTTCCCACGTCTTGTCCACAGGCACTTGACTGGAAAAAGATGCACAGAACCAGGAGAACGGGGATACGGAGCAGACTCCCCATGTCGCTTGTCTCACCCAGTGTCCGAGGTCTTCTTGCTAATGTCTGGAACTAAAGAGACCAGAATGCTTCTTGGTACTCAGTTGGGGAAGGCCCCCATTAATGATTAACTTTAAAACATGTTACCCAGTGTTTGAACACTTTCTGTGCCTCCCCCAATCCAAATCTAGCAAGATTTAGTACCAAAAAGATTGACCCACAGAAGCACTTCTTGTTTTGAGACCTCTCACGAGGCCTTCTTTCCCCTTGAGCCAAGCTCATGGCTCAGAATCAGTCAATGGTGAGTTAATGTGTTGTCTTTGGACATTTGTCAAAGGTGGGCTAGGTGACCTCTGCATCGTTGATGCACTACCCTCTAAAGCGCTCGAAGGGGAGGTGGTGTCATGGACACGGTCTTCCAGATGGCAGGCCTACCCCAAAGAGAGATTGAAGCCCCCTCCCCAGGGACTCTGCAGTATAAGTGGGTGGGGCAGCGTTTCTGCAGCCAAAAAAGGGGCTGGAACCTGGTGAGCTCAGGCTAAGAAGGAACACCCATGAGAAACAAAGATCAGTCTTCCCGGAGCCCTGTGGAGAGATGCCCCAGGATAGACTCCCTCCCCGGGTTAATTACTGCTGGGGGCAGAGGGTTATGAAGCAAGGTCATTCAGCAAAGGCATGCAGGGAAGATAGTGTGGTGGGCAGTTCTTGGCTGTCTGGTGCGATTTAAATTTACCTATTTATTTTGTATGTACACGCACTGAACAAATTAGTGCTGTATGTCGAATACCACTGCGTACCAGGCACCGCTCTTGGCTTTTGAGATAGTTAAGTGTTAAGATAGTTGAGATAGTTAAGTGAGATAGTTAAAACAGAGGAGTGCTGTGGTCCTTGCGGAGTGTATGTGTCCTGGGGTGAGGAGAATTATATGATGGAAGGTAGACATAATAAAGCAGAGAGACCCGTGTGAGAAATATTTGGCTGGGAACGTAGCACAATGCTTGCCTAATAGGCACAAATCCCAGAGCTGGATCCCTAATGCCAGTGGATACGGTGCACCTGCCTATAGCACTCAGGAGGAGGAGGCAGAAGCATCAGAAGTTCAAGGTCACCTCTTGCTACACCGTGAGCTCAAAGTCAGCCTGCGCTAGATGATGCCTTGTCTCAAAAAAATAAAGCAAAAATAAATAATTAAAGAAAACAACAGGGATAATGGGAGAGGCTAGTGATTTTAAACAGAGTGGTCAGTGAATCTTGCTCAGAAATTGACCTTGAAGCAAAGGATTGAGGGAAGTGAAGGGGTCATTCTGTAGGGAAGAAGAGTTTCAGACAGTTGGGGCAAAGGTCCCGAGGTTGGAACATGTTTGGTGTGTTCTAAGGATAGAAGAATGGGCTAGTGAGCAGGAGGACTCCTCTGTGGCTTTCACATACATTCAGAGCAAAGGAGTAAATAATATGATCTGTGTTGCTTGGCATTCGCATGAGGTCGAAGAGGGGAGCTGATGGAAGAGACGACCATGGTGACTGAGCCAGGGAGCTTTGGTGGTGGCTGGTGCGATGTCCCTGTGGGGCTGGATGAGGGCTGGGTTGTCTTTTGCAAGTGGATCTAGTAGACTCCTTGGTTTGCTGGGAGGAAGGAGGTGGGAAAAGAATGAAGAATGACTCCAAGGCTTGCCATCAACCGAGAGAGGGGGAAGCCGTGAGGGAGATGGGTCTGGTTGGAGGTGATGGACAACTCAGATTTTGTGCTGTGGCATCTGAGTTGGCTCTCAGACACCCCAGTGGATGGTGGGAATGGTTAGCCGGCAGTTAGATAAAGTACCAGTTGTTGTCTGCTAATGACTGACTTAGCCGCTCTCTGAAGAGGCTGGGGAGACAGCTCAGCCCACACTGAATTAAATCCCCTGAGCCCACACGTAGAGAAAGAGCCAGACATGAACATGTCCTTGCAATCCCAGTGCTGGGAGGCAGAGCCAGGCTGGTCACTGGGGCCTGTTGGCCAGCCAGCCATGCACAACTAGAAAGCTCTGGGTCCCAATGAGAGACTCTCTCAAAATGCAAGGTGGAGAGTGACTGAGACAGACAACTGATGCCAGCCTTTGGCTCAAGCACGCATGTGTGCGCGCAGCCACGAATGGTCTTGATTCAAACCCAAAACCGTGTGCTCTGTGGCTGAGCATCTTTCCTGAAACACGGGGCGGGGGCAGGGTGGAGGGAAACGCCTAGTAAGACGAATGGCTCCTGATTCCTGAGCAAGGGCTGGGTTTCTGGATTTGGGGGTCTCTCCTTCCTGTTTTGCATGGTTAAGCTGGATCTGAAACTTCCACTTCTTTTACACTCAACATTCCAACCCCTAAAACCATCTGGCCTTGGGTCCCTCTTCCACCACCTCACTCTCCTCTCTTTTCTGGACATCCCAGCAGCCACTCCCAACCTCCACCACACTCTGCAGGCAAACTTACCAAACACAGTGAGTCCTCCCGCCTCCTGCCTCTGCTCTCTGCGGGATATTACATAGCACCAGTGTCCTCTATTATCTTTTCTTTAAAGTGGGGAATCGCACGGCCGGAGATCATATTTTTAAGATACCTACTCGCTTTCTCCCACGGTGCTTGTCGTCCCCAAAACATGAGATCCCAAAGCAGGGCACCCCTAACCAACCAAGACCAGCAAAGGCTAAATTTCTTTTTTAACGGTTTGAATCTCATGCAGACAATGACGTACATATAATGACATGCATATACACACCTATAACACAAATAAAGCATCTTGGTCAAACACCCCCTTCCCCTCCCCTCCAAGGCCTCCCCTATCACCAAGACCACCATTACTGTATAACTGCATGTGCTCTTTAAAGAGCCCAGAGTCCATTCAGTGTTGTCCCCATCCACACAGATGTTAGAGATCCTGCTGGAGCAAGGATGCTCATGGGGCTTCATCCCTCAACAAAACCAACGCCCCCTCCCTTGGCAGCCATCAGACATTACTGGCTGCTGCCATTGCTCTCGGTTAACCCTCAGAACCTGACAGTAAGATCCTGTTACTGAAGGCACCACATCCCTGAGTCATAGGACATGGACAAACCAAGCCAGGCTGAAACGTTTTAAAGGGTCACGAAGGGAGAAGGAATGTTCCATCTTCCCATCGCTGGAAAGAAATTCTTCCAAACAGTCTTGTTAGGGTTTTATTGCTGTGAGGAGACACCGTGACCAAGGCAGCTCTCATAAAGGAAAGCATCTAATGGGGGCTGGCTTACAGTTTCAGAGGTTTAGTCCATTGTCATCATGGCGAGAAGCATGGAAGCAGGCAGGCACACATGGTGCTGGAGGAGCCCAGAGTGCTACATCTTGATCTGCGGGCAGCGGAAGGCGACTGTGTATGTCACTGAGGGTAGCTTGAGCATATATAACCTCAAAGCCCGCCTCCACAGTGACACACTTCCTTCTACAAGGCCACTCCCACTCCAATGAGGCCACACCTCCTGTTAGCACTGCTCCCTAATGGGCCAAGCATTCAAACCCAAGAGTCTATGGGGGGCATTCCTATTCAAACCACCACACAAACTTAGAGCTGTGGGGAAAGGGGAGACTTGCCTTGGAGTTGAGAGCAGAGGGGATGGTCCCTTGCTTTGTAGAAACTCTGGGACGGGGTGAGGCCCCACATAGAAAATGTTCTGCATGTGCCAGCATGCAGGAGGACCTCTCTGGCTTGGTATTGGAGTCATGCTGAGCCTTCCAAGTCAGCAGGTCAAGACGACAACAGAACAGAGAGACACTCAGTGTCCATCTATGTGAGCAAATTATGGGGGACCAGACCCTTGCCCCTCAGGTCATACAGGCATGCTGTGCCTGCTGTGCTGGGGGTGGGGTAGAGAGAAAGAATCCAAGGATGCCTGTAAACAAGCATTTGGAGTCATGGATTCAGATGAGCTATAGACAACAAAGGTGCTTGCATGTCAGAATTTGTGGACTAAGAGTCACGCCTCTATAGCCACAAGCCCACAATAATATCCATGTGTGGGGCGAGCACCCTGTCCATAAAAGCTACAGCAAATCCCAGTGATTTATCTGGGAGGCAGCATGATTCACAGTCAAGAGTCAAGGATGAGAGTCAGATCTGTGTTCAACTGCCTGGTCTTGTCCTTACTGGCTGAGCGCCCTTGGGTAGTGTTCTGAACTTCAGTTATCTTCAACTTTACAGTCTCTGCCATGTGACTAAGTGATGAAGGGTGCTCAGCAACCCTAATAATGATAGTGATGACGGCATCATTATGTGTGTACGTGTTGGTGTGAGTGCAGATAGTACTCAATGGTGCATAGGCAAATAAATGTCCTCAGGCTGGGGAGGGGGTGTGTGCTCAAAGTAATCTGAAGACAGACCGGCCTGCCCTTTTTCCTTCCCTCCCTCCCTCCCTCCCTTCCTTCCTTCCTTCCTTCCTTCCTTCCTTCCTTCCTTCCATCCTTCCTCACTCTCTCTCTCCCTCCCTCCCTTATTTCTTCCTCCTTCCCTCCCCTCTCCTTTCCTCCTCCTCCTCTCCCCGGGGTCTTAGTTGTCTAGGCTACAACCAGGGATGACTTGAGCCTCTGATCTCCCTGCCTCCACCTCCCAAGCTCCAGGGTTACAGGAGAACTGGACGGCACCAAGCTTATGTCTCACTGGAGCTAGAAGCTGGGGGGGGGGGGGGAGGTCGCGAGTTCTCCACCAGGTCTCTCCAGCCCTATGTGGGCAGTCTGCAGCCAGCCTTTCCCAGGGACTGCAGTGGCAGGCCCAGGCCCCTCAGAGGATACCATTGCCACAGCTTTAACCCAGCTTCCCGAGACTCTGCACTCCAGTTGGTAGAATAATGTTTTTATCGTTAGGTTTTTAGAATGTTCCCGGTTCTCGCTGTCTTTTAATTTCAAGAGCTTCTTAAGGAAATGCTAATTTTAAGAGTGCTGTTTGGTGACCTGAAATTAATCTTTTCCTTTAGAGTCACAGTGATAAGAAAACTAATCAGGAGGCAAGAAATAAATACTCTATGAGGCTGAAGAGGAGCAAATCCCGGGGATGGGGGTGGGGGGAGGCAGGTGCCGAGG